ATGAAAAATGCATTTAAAACATGTTCGTATTTTAGAGAATGTAGTTGATATTTGCATCATTAATGATTGATCTCATCCACCCGCGACCCACCCGCAATTAATTAAAATATATTTTTTTATTACCCGACCCACCCAACCCGCGGATTATCCGCAGCGCCCGCGGATATAACCGCCATCCGCGCATCTCTAATAGGAACATAAGAACATAAGAAATTTACAAATGAGAGGAAGCCATTCGGCCCATCAAGCTCGTTTGGAAAGAATTCAACTTATAGCTTAAAGTTGTTGAAATCTTATCTAACTCTGATTTAAAGGTTTTAGCTTGCACTGCACTAACAGGAAGACTATTCCATACTCTAACTACAAGAAATTTACAAACGAGAGGAAGCCATTCGGCCCATCAAGTGTGTTTGGGGAGAACTCAACTAATACCGTAGCTCAGAGTTGTTAAAATCTTATCTAGCCCTGATTTAAAGGAACCCAGGGTTTTAGCTTGCACTAACAGAGAGACTATTCCAAACTCTAACTAGATGCTGTGTAAAGAAGTGCTTTCTCAAATGAAATTTTAAAATGTTCTCCTGCTAATTTCCACCTATGGCCACAAGTTCTGGTATGTAAACTAATATTGAAGTAGCTATTTGGCTGAACAGCATCCAGACCTGTTAGAATCTTATATATCTGAATCTTCCCCCTTAGTCTCCTTTGCTCAAGGTTGAACAGATTCAGCTCAGCTAACCTCTCCTCATAAGACATGTCTCTATGACCAGGAATCATTCTTGTAGCCCCGTGTTGAGGCCTTTCTAAGGTAACAGTGTCTTTTTTAAGGTAAGGTGACCAAACCTGCACACAGTATTTTAGGTGGGGAAAAATATAGAAACTAAAGTATATCAGTATGTGATTCCTTAAATCTCATATTGACATAGTTATCAGCTAGTCTATATACTAAAACAGCGTAACAGAATTCCCGAAATTCAGTTATGGCTTTTGGTCTTTCTGCTTGATTGAATGGATAGAATGGATAGACAGACGGACAGACAGACAGACAGACTGATAGGTAAATGTTGGACCAATCATGACAAAAAATTGTGTCTTGAGGAATCACAGCAAAAATATTCCATGGGGGTGGTCAGATTGGACCACTGACAAAGCAAAACGTATAACTGAATTTCAGGAATTCTATTATGCTGTTGTAGCATATAGACTAGCTGATGACTATATCAATATGAAAGTTAAGGAACTGCATACTGATATACTTTAGTTTCTTTGTTTTATATTATATGTAGTCATGTTGTAGTCACTTATTTTTGCTAGGGGACTTGGGGGGGCAATGATTGTATAAGAGTGCCTGTGTCCCCCCTTTGGTGGTGCCATTGTTGGTGCATCAGAAATCAATGACTACAACATCTTAATCGCAGTTGGCTGCCTGCTCTTTATACAAATTGCCTTCCGTGCTGAGGGCTGACAAATTTGATCATATATTGGAGTCACAGCTGCATGCTGAAATCAGGTATGTCCAAAAATTCAGAATGAAAGCATCAAGGCTCTGTTGCAAGCATGGCGTCAGAGAAAAAGCAGAATGTAACTCTTCCATATGTTGGAAGCCATACTTTATCTTGATTGATATAAGTGTATGCATCTGTCTCCATCCACCATCTAAAACTGTACAAAAATCATTTCAGTGAAAGGAATGACTGGGGGAAATGTCATACGGGACTAATCTTAAACTTTAGCCTTAACACATGTATCTAGCCACCACACCTCTGGGGTTCTGTTGGAGTGCTGGTATCACATTCATTTGTACTTTACTATTGTGATTGAGACTATATTTGAAACTAGAATGAGTAGAATGGGAGTTGAAGCAAGAGTTTCTGTAATTAAAATACATATTAGTGATAATTAATATGATGTCCCAGTCCCCATTTTGAGTACCTGGATCTGATTCAATGTGATCCATTCAATATCTATATGTCCTTTGATTCCAAGTCCTGATCTTTTTTTTTTAAAAAAAAATAACTATTCAACAATACATACACATAGAGTAGCCTTCTAACAGTACTACATGCTCTTGAAAGACTGACTCTTGAAAGTTTTTGTGCTACTTTGAGTTTCCAACATAAAGAATTTGCACACGGCTGACATGGTTCATAGTTTCAAATTACACTCACCTAAAGGATTATTAGGAACACCTGTTCAATTTCTCATTAATGCAATTATCTAATCAACCAATCACATGGCAGTTGCTTCAATGCATTTAGGGGTGTGGTCCTGGTCAAGACAATCTCCTGAACTCCAAACTGAATGTCAGAATGGGAAAGAAAGGTGATTTAAGCAATTTTGAGCGTGGCATGGTTGTTGGTGCCAGACGGGCCGGTCTGAGTATTTCACAATCTGCTCAGTTACTGGGATTTTCACGCACAACCATTTCTAGGGTTTACAAAGAATGGTGTGCAAAGGGAAAAACATCCAGTATGCGGCAGTCCTGTGGGCGAAAATGCCTTGTTGATGCTAGAGGTCAAGGGAGAATGGGCCGACTGATTCAAGCTGATAGAAGAGCAACTTTGACTGAAATAACCACTCGTTACAACCGAGGTATGCAGCAAAGCATTTGTGAAGCCACAACATGCACAACCTTGAGGCGGATGGGCTACAACAGCAGAAGACCCCACCGGGTACCACTCATCTCCACTACAAATAGGAAAAAGAGGCTACAATTTGCACGAGCTCACCAAAATTGTACAGTTGAAGACTGGAAAAATGTTGCCTGGTCTGATGAGTCTCGATTTCTGTTGAGACATTCAAATGGTAGAGTCAGAATTTGGCGTAAACAGAATGAGAACATGGATCCATCATGCCTTGTTACCACTGTGCAGGCTGGTGGTGGTGGTGTAATGGTGTGGGGGATGTTTTCTTGGCACACTTTAGGCCCCTTAGTGCCAATTGGGCATCGTTTAAATGCCACGGCCTACCTGCATGAGCATTGTTTCTGACCATGTCCATCCCTTTATGACCACCATGTACCCATCCTCTGATGGCTACTTCCAGCAGGATAATGCACCATGTCACAAAGCTCGAATCATTTCAAATTGGTTTCTTGAACATGACAATGAGTTCACTGTACTAAAATGGCCCCCACAGTCACCAGATCTCAACCCAATAGAGCATCTTTGGGATGTGGTGGAACGGGAGCTTCGTGCCCTGGATGTGCATCCCACAAATCTCCATCAACTGCAAGATGCTATCCTATCAATATGGGCCAACATTTATAAAGAATGCTTTCAGCACCTTGTTGAATCAATGCCACGTAGAATTAAGGCAGTTCTGAAGGCGAAAGGGGGTCAAACACCGTATTAGTATGGTGTTCCTAATAATCCTTTAGGTGAGTGTATGTGCCTCAGGTTTACCTTTTTAATCTCACAATCATGACGCTGACTATATCCAATACACCAACATTAATTGTATGTTATTTACAAATGTATGGCACCCGATTTTAATCAATTTGTAACAATAAAACGGTGCAGAAAATTACCGAACTATTACAACTACCATGGCAGCTCTTGCGTTATTGGAAGACATAGCTTATGGAAGAATTAGAATAGAGTGCGTATTCAGGGATCATAGTGATTTTTTGGCCCATGAAGATGAGTGGCTTCTAAGTCGATTCAGATTTCCAAGAGCAATCCTTTTGGAGCTGTGTGCTAAACTGGGGCCAGCATTACAAAGGCAAACAATGAGGAATTGCGCTATACCTGTTCCTTTACAAGTTCTGTCCACTCTCGGGTTCTTAGCCACAGGTGCTTTCAAAAAAGAAATTGCGGACTGATCGCGTATTTCTCAGTCAACACCAAGTCACGCCATGCCTGCTGTATGGGACCGCA